ACTGGGGGAGCCCAATAAATCATCTCTCCTGTGGGCCAAGGGACCTTTGGCTTCTGGGCATCTGGGAGAGGGGAGGTTGTGGTTACTGACTTAAAGACCCCCTGAGAAGCCAACTACATGGATAATTGAAGCACGGAGCATGTTTTATAAGGAAAGGGTAAAGGAATTTGAGGGATTTTTTTAGACTCTGGAAAAGAAGAGACTTCAGGGAGGTCTCCAGGGTCTTTAAATTCAAAGTATGGAAAGTATGGAAAATATTTCTTAAAACAAAAGGAAATGAATTTGCTTTGCTGCTGGGGGGATTTTGGTCACTCATAGGAAGAGCTTAGATCCAAGGGAGAGGCAGCAGAGGACAGTTGGGTGTTGGAGGTGGGGGTGTGGGAAATAAACCTCAGAGACCAGCACCTGTCCAGTATCTGTCACCTGTTACACATCCAGGTCTGCTGTGTGCCGCGCTGCTGAACTGTTATTCTCTTATCATTGCGTGAATATTTACTGAGCACCTGCTCTGCTCCAGGCACTGTGCTAGACTCTGGGGCCACAATTAGGAGCAGAAACAGGCATATTTCCACATGCTCTAGGTGGGGTGGGGTGGGTTTTCGGGCTGTTGGGTGAGTTAGAAATGAATTCAGCATGTAACGGTATCATTAGCAACTGTGATAAGTTTGAGGTGCTGTGAGAATGTAAAACAGACACATCTGATAGGGTCTGGGTTGTTAACAGAAGGCTCACTTCTTCGTGTTGGGTTTTCTTTTCTTTTTTTTGTTGGGTGGCCGGTTCGGGGATCTGAACCCATGACCTTGGTGTTACAAGGCTGTGCTCCAACCAACTGAGCTGACCGGCCAGCCCTTATGTTGGGTTTTCTTATGTTCACTTTACTGAAGAGGAAACGGGTTCAGAGAACTTACTTGCCCAAAAATGCACAACAATTAATGGTTAGGGTTTGGATTCAATGTACCCGGGTCTGTCTGACCCCAAGACTTTTCTCTCAACCACCTGACTCTTGGAGCATCCCGGGCTCTACACAACTTATGGATACTCATCCTGTATTATTTAATCTTCATGGACACCTGTGAGAGGTGGATTATCGTGCCATTATATGGATGAGGAGACAGAGGCTCAGAGAGGCTAATTAACTTGCCTATGTTCACACAAATCAGCTGGTGGTAGGCAGGAATGGCCAGGTTGTTGGACCCAAAAGCCTGTGGGTTTTCCAAATTCTGTTCTGTTGACTCCCCCAGTACCCTTGTTTTACAGACAAAGGCTGCAGAGGTGAAGCAACTGTGCAGGGACACTGTGATGCAGAGTTGATAGAGCAGGGACTGCACAACGCCCCCTCTCCTCCCACCTCGTCCCCCGTGCTCCCTGTAATTAGTTTTTCACAGATTACCTTTGCTCGCCTCTCTGGGATAGTGAGGGTCCGGAGCCTGGCACTGGTGCTTGCATCTCTGTGGGCCATGGCAGGCTGGGACTTTGCCTCCCTCCAGGCTGTGACAGGTTAAGGAAAGGCTCTGCACTCCTCAAGCAGGCCTGTGATATGAGACTAGGAGGTGCTCTCCGGGAGGTGCCATCTTGTCTGGGCTGCTGCCTCTCCATCCACAAATGAGCCCAGGGGAGACCCACTAAGAGCCAGGGCCCCACGCTGCAGTGGAGTCAGATGCCGGTGAGAAGGAAGGGCTCTTGTCTGGGCACGGTTATCTAGTGGGCTCCAAGCCCTGGTGAACAGACTGACACCTCCAAGCCAGCTCGGCTGGTCACCAGGAGCTACCTTCTTTGTTACCGATTGCTGTGCTGCAGGCCAGGATAAGCCATTGGGAGCCCCAGGAGGCAGGCTCCCTAATAGAAAGATAATCCGCAGGGCCTGGCTGGAGGTCTGTTTGGGGTTAAATGTGGGCAGAAGAGGCCATCGTAGCTGAAAGGGAGGAGATGTCGTAGTGCAATGCTGTCTACCAGAAATGTAATGGGTACCACATACATAATTTTAAACTTTCTAGCACCTCCATCAAAAAGTGTAAAAACAGGTGAAATGAATTTTAATAATGTGTTTTATTTAACTTAACCTATCCAAAACATTCTAATTGCAACCAGTTATGAATGAGTTGTTTTACTTTCTATTCTGCCTACCAAGCCTTCGAAACCTGGGGTGTACTTTACACTGGTGGCACGTTTCCATGGGACTGGCCCCACTGCAGTGCTCAGTAGCTGCATGTGGCAAGTGCTCCAGCCTTGGGCGGCGCAGCCCTGGAGTTCAGGACAGATGATCACCTCCTCTGCCTCCACCTTCAGCTCCGGGGATGGGTGGACGGCCAGGTCTCAGGGCTTTGTGTCCCATTCGTCTGACCACGCTCCCTGCTGCGGCTGCTGCTGGGGTCTCTAGGCTGCAGTGGGAAGAAATGCTGTGAGGTAGGAGGGGAAAACCATGAAGTTGGGGCAGAATGAAGGAGAAAAACCCGTAGGACCCAAGTCCAGAGCGAAGAGGCGACCCAGTGGCCCGCCGGCCCGCGGCCACGGTGGGTGTGGGACGAGGTGGCGCGGAGCCGGCC